TTTGCACGAGCAGTGGAGAGGACAGCTTCAAGTTGAGCAGGTGATTGATTGCACCACATAAATTGCACCGCATGTATTGCACCACGCCGGTTACACCACATATATCGCGCACCACATAGACTGCACCACACCGATTGCACCACATTGGTTGCATCACATCGAATGCACCATTGAGATTGCACAATCAAGGTTCATCTATAGGACCACATCTAGTGCACAGTATCAGCACACCAACTATTGCAACTCATAGATCGCTAAGACACTTTTTGGGGTCGCGGCTGGCTAACTTGGATGTGTAGATGTTTTTTATATATATATATGTATATATATATATATGTATATACAAGACTGCATTGGCGCTTCACGCCATGCACCTTGGTCCTTGAAGTTTGGTGTGCAGGCGGAATAGCAGGAAGGTCAAGCCGACAATTTAGCGATAACTCCTTGTTGCCTTTTCCGGCATCGCTGCTATAATAATGTTATTCGTTATCCTGTCTCCATGCTTATTTTTCTTCATGTTCGCCATACCTTGCGCATTCTCCCCATCCTCCGCAGCTCTTCTTTGCGGAGGCTTCTCCTTGGAGAGCCTCTGGGGGCCTCACAAAAGTTGTTTCAGGCTTTCTTAAAGCCTTCTGGAGGCCTCCTGGGCGTATTCTGGGGGCCTCTGGGGGCTTCCTCGGGCCACCCTGCCTCCAATCGCGGTCTCCCTGAACGACTGGGTCACGAATTGGAGTGCTTTGGAGGGTGTCTTGGTGCCATCTTGGGCCGCCATGGGGCTCTCTGAGGGCCATCCTGGACCCGTGTTGTGCCGTTTTGGGGCTCTCTTGGACTGCTCGGAAGCCTTTTCGGATGGTTGTGGGGCGATTTGGGAGCCTCCGAGGCGGCTTCGGACGCCCAGAAGACCGCCGTCCTGGAGCGTCGGGAAGCTGAAAAGGGGAGATCCCTCAAATTCACCAAAAACCAACAGAACATCAATGATTTTTGCCTCTTGGGGCCTTCTTGGGAGTGCTCTTGGATGTCTCTTTGGGACCGTCCTGGAGGCCTCTTGGGCCATCTGGAGGTCACGTCGGTCACTCTTGGAGCGCTCTTGTGCTGTCTTGGGGGTCTCTGGGACGTCTCCGATGACCCCCTTGATCGCCTTAGGTGTGCTGGGAAGGCTTGGCAAAACGCCCTGCGAGGCCCGGGGGGCCTCTTCGAGGCCCGTCCAGAGGGTCCCACAGCCCCAGATCACGTGAGTCCAGTTTTTTTTTTGGGGGGGGACCCCTTTCGCGTTCCGCCCGGATTGCAAACATACATAAAAGGGAATCTGGATTCGTTTATGTGTGTATGCGTGTACACATGTATCCAGATGCCTGCGGCAAGTCCCGCAGCCGTGCAATCTCAGCTCCGCAGCCTGGTGGCCCCCGCAGTGGGGCTACTGGATCGGGGGGCGTCTCAAGCGAAACGCCCACCCAGCCATATTGACACGGTTGGTGGTGTGACGAGCAGGATGCGTCTAGAGGGAGCAGGGGCGGACGGAGTGGAGCAGGAGCAGGGGAAGCAGCAGATGGAGTGATTGTGAGGGCAGGACGTGATGAGGGCGGGGAAGCCCACAAAGCCAGGGATTGGGATCGCCATGCCCTTGTGTCATTGTTGAAAGAATCAAAGCTGCGTAAACATGTGTGTTCGAAGGTCCATGTGGATTTCCCGGACCCGCGCTTGACCGCTCTTTCGGACACGCGGAGCGCGTCAGGGGCGGCGCCAGAGGCGCAGCCAGAGGGGCCCATCGCCGACACGAGAAATTTGGGCGGAACTTCGACAGTTAATGTATACGGTGCGCGCGTGTGTAAAGGAAGTGCCCAGGAGGCTTCAGACCCTGGAGGACTTCGTATCTGACGAGGGCGGCGATGAGATCCGCGGCACAGTCTCGATTGGTGTCCACTTGCTTCCAGACCCTGGATTCCTTATCCAGGGCTGTCTTGTCCAATGCCCTCACAGTATGCCGCTTTTTCTGGACCAAAAAACAAACGAGACCACCCCACCTGCGGCCCTCCATGTTACGCTACGGCCCATTGGGCGCCGTAGCGTATACCACGCAAAAGCCTACGCCAGATTTCTTGGTATACGCTAAGCCCCCTGGCAGTAGGTGGGGTGGTGTCGTTTGTTTTCCTGTTCATTCTCGTTGTCTATGTCCACAGGCTCTCCAGGAGGTTCCAGGGGGGGGGGGGGGCTCCCCGCCCGCGCGGCACGCGCGCAGGCACAGAGAGGTGCTGAAGCGTGGGCCGTGGACCCTCGCAGGCTGAGTCGGTGGGCGGGCCCCTCCTCCTCATGCAAGCGCAGGGGGGTCCTCCTCAAGGAATTCTCCTTCTTCTCCTCCATCTCCATTCCTTGTCCTTTCAGTAACTCCTCCTCGTCGCACCCCGAGGCTGGTCGAAAGGGCGGGCCAGGCGTTTCGCCTGACACGCCCTCGCCATTTGTGACTCTGAAGCCCAACCATTGGCAGCATGTTCACAGATGGAGGGCCGGTGGTTTTCAAACAAATGTTTTCGCATGAGCGCCCGCTCTCATTCGTTTCAGACAGTTATAAAAAGTTTCACGGATTGAGGGCGGGTGGTTTTGAAGGTGTGGTTCTCGCCGTAGTGCCCGCGCACATTGGTTTTAAACAGTTTCAGGAGTTTCGCGGGTTGAGGGCGGGCCGTTTTCAACATGTGGTTTTCGCTTCAGTGCCGCGCACATTCGTTTTACACATTTGCAAGAGTGTCACGGATTGAGGTCGGTTCCTTTTCAAAATGTGTTTCTCGCCTTAGCGCCGCGCACATTCGCTTTAAACATTTTCAGGAGTTTCGCGGGTTGAGGGTGGGCCGTTTTCAAAATGTGGTTTTCGTTTCAGTGCCGTGCATATTCGTTTTACACACTTGCAAGAATTTCACGGACTGCCATCGTTGACGCACGAGAGATTGTGTGTTGGAGCGGTTCAGGATTGCCACGGCGCAACAGTTACGTTGATTCGCGGTGTTGGAGTCCCAGGAACGGGGCTCTGGCACGATTCAGGACCGTCAAGACGCAACAGTCAGGTTAATTCGTGGCGTTGCGGTCTCGAGAATGGTGTTTTGGCACGCTGCAGGATCTTCAAACGGTTGTCTCCCAACGGGGTACTTTTTTCAGTGAGAATGAAACTTTGCAAGGGCCTATGAAGAGGGAGCTTGGAGGGAGGTGTCTCCAGCATCGTTGATGGATCATGGGTTTATGCTGGTCCTCGTCCTCCTCCTGGTTCCTGGTTTCCAGTTCCTGGTTCCTGGTTCCTGGTGGCGTGAGGAGTCGTCGACTGCCGCCCCCCATCCTCCTCTTCTTCCTTCTCCTCCTCCTCCGCCTCCGCCTCCTCCTCCTTGGTGGTGTATACATCCTTTTCGGCCACAGGGGCAGCCCCCTCCTACGAGCAGCGCGTGGCGGCTGTCGTGGAGAGAACCCGTATCAGAGAGGCGTCTAGAGTTGAGGCTTGTAGCTCTTGGCCTTGTGCTAGAAGGCTGTTCACTCTCCCTGTCATGGCATTCCGTTCCGTTCCTCCTCCTCAGACCTGGGCGTCGCGAAGAACAAGTCGCGACGACTGGCTTTTGCTCCACGTTTCTGGCGTCTGCCTGCCGATTCCCCAGTCCCGGGGGTCGTCGGACAACGGCTCCAGGACGAAGAGCCGGCCCTGTGGACACGGGTTGGGATTTGTGATTTGTGGGGGCTGATGTCACGAGCAGGCTGCGACGTCGGAGGACAGGAATGCCCGCCATCTCTTCCCCTCCCTCCTTCTCGTCCCTCCCCCATCCTTCCTTTTCCTTCCCCTCCTCCCGCCTCCCTCCTCGCTCCCCCTTCCTCCTCCTTACGTATTCCTTTTCCCCCTCCTCCCTCGGGCGGATGGTCGCGCAGCGTCCGCTGCCAAACAAATGCGACTCTATTCTCGTACAGCCAGGGCACATTTTGAGAGGCCGCCTGTATAATGCCAGGGCACCTAGGCTTCTTTGGTTCAGAGAGGCTTGCCGTCAGAAATTCGAGGGCTCGCAGCTCCCAAGGCCATCGAAGTTCATGTGTGTAGAGTCTGAGGTCTCGCAGAGGCTTCTTCTGCCTCACGTCGCAGCGTATTCTCAGCGGCTCGAGGCGAAGAACTGTTCTTATGCCCCAGCGCCTTACTTTGCTTTGGGGCATAAGAACTGATATGGCTGCTGATGTTCCCTCGCTCCCTACCTTCTTTCCGCCGCAGCCGGATTTGACGCAGCAACGCTTTCGGTCCCAGCTCCAGCTGCGGCGACGCAAGGGGCAGGACGACGACGACGACGATGACGAGGAAGTCGATGGCGAGGACAAGGGCGACGGCGACGACCAAGCAGACTGGCCAGACAGCCCAGTCAGACCGGCCAGGTAGATGAACCAGACCAGCCAGGTAGATTAATCAGACCAGCCAGACCAGCCAGCCGTCTGGACCAGCGAAGCACAGTCCAGACTAAGCAGATCAACCTGCCCAGACCAAGCAGAGTAGTCAGACCAGCCAGCCCAACTAGTCAGGTAGACCAACCAGAGCAGGGACCAGGCAGACCAGCTAGCCGTTCGGACCAGCAAAACCCAGACCAGAGTAATCAGATCAACCTGGCCAGACCAAGCAGACCAACCTGGCCGGACGAACCAGGCCAGACCTGGCCAGTCAGACCAGCCAGTCAGATCGGCCAGGTAGACCAGCCAGAACAGCTTAGGTCTGATCTGGAGCTTCAGTCCCAAGCTTTAAGCTTGCTCTGTTGAAGCTGAGCGTCCCGCCGTGCGCTAGGTTGGTCTGGCTGGTCTGGTTGGTCTGTGTCGTGGTGGGGGCATGGGAAGAACGCCTGTGAACGGACCACCGAAACAACAGACCAGTGAATCAGCGGCGCCAGCCAGACCAACCAACAGACCACGCCGACCTGACCAGCTAGACCAACCAGACCAAGCAGACCAACCAGACTAGCCAGACCAGCCAGACCAACCAGACCAGCCAATAGACCATCCGTAGCCATTTTGGCTCAAGCCTGGCTCGGGCGCGCACGCGGGCGCTTGGGCACGATGGCGCGGGATGTCGCCCCGTGTGGCGACAGTCGGCCTGATGCGAGCGGCCCTCCTGGCTGGCCCTGTTCGGCCAAGCGTCGGGAGGCGCGCAAGGCGGCTGCTGCGGCAGCTTTGGTAGCCGTGCACCGCCTGTCGCTCGAGGTGCGGGCCTGGCGCAGGCTTTACGAGGACCTCGCGGCGGCCCTCGGGGCTACGGGCGCGGACGGTGAGCTGAGCAGGCGCTTGGCAGCTGCCGCCCCAGCCTTGGCCGCCCTCATCCGTGGGAGGTGGGAGGTGCCGACTGCGGTCGAGCGCCTGAGGCGGAACGTGGCCCTCCATGCGGAAGCCGAGGACATCGACCTGCTGGACGCTGGGGCTGCGCAGCTCCGCGTGGCGCAGCACGGCCCGAGGCTCGGCGCTAAGTCCGCGGCTCCCGAGGCGGGCGCCATCGGTGGTGCCTTTGGGGAACAGCTGGACGATGAGCCTGAGGATAAGGAGTGTGAGCGTGAGGTCGCGGTGATCTGGCGCGCCCTTTGCCAAGCGCGGAGGCGGCGGGCCCGCTTCCTGACCTGCCCGCTGGTGCGATGTGTGCTGCGGATCTGGAGAAGGCCCTCTCGCGACCGCGGTTGGCGCCAGGCGTGTGGGCCAAGCCGCATGCCGAGACTGCGTCCTTCGTTTCGGGCCTTGCTGCGGGCTGGCACCTGGCTGAGCGCGAGCCTCAGCAGCCGCCAGGGATGCGCTGCACATGCGGTGCCGTGGTCTTCTCGGCCCCGCCGCTGGCCTCTGTGGTGCCCCAGGCGGCGTGGCAGGCGGAGGGCGCCCTGACGCCGCCGCCGCACCCAGCGCTTCTGGAGTCCAAGTCAGGAGCAGGTGCGCCTGGTGTGGGCTCCGACGTCGACGACGTGATCCTGGACGGCGAGACCGACGCGGACACCTCGTGCTCGGTCGGGGAGCAGCCAGACGCCGAACACGGGGGAAGTGTTGCAGCCGCCGCCGCCGCGTACCTCGCCGCCTTTCCGCAGGCCATCCCCAGCGGGGGCAGCGGCGGCAGGGCTCGCTGCGAGGTCGCGGCAGGGGCTTGGTGGCGAGCGAGGGCCGTCGTCGCCCGTGCTTGGCTCACCGCTGGTGCTGCGACGGTGCAGGAGGGCGGTGCTGCGGGTTCTGCCACCCCGCCGCCGCCGCTGCTCGACGTGATCGTGCCCCCCGGTGGGCAGGTCGTGCGGGCCGAGTGCCCGCTGCCGGGGTGTGCTGCCGGCGCCGAGGCGCCGCCGCTGCTGCGGAAAGTCCGCTTCGCAGAGGCCCCGCACGTATACGAGATTGGGAGCTGCTTGGGCCTGCGTGGTATCCTTCGGCGGGCGTGCGCCCCAGGGTTTCTGGACCCCGCCTGGACGCGCCACGCAAAAGCCGTAGACCTGATGCACATGATCGAGGGCGACTTCTTTGGCCTCAGGATTCCTCCGACACGGAGGCCGCAGCGACATAGAGCGAGATTTACGGACGAGTCTCGTCTGGCCGAGGCCCTTCCGCCAGGGATGTCCGTGGAGCGTGCCAGAGAGATCGATTGCCTTATACGATTGTGCGGAGGATGGTAGCTCGGTGATATGACCGTATCGGTCTTCCCCTCGCCTGGAGATTGTCTGACAGCCCGCGATTGACTTACTGGTGTACGTTGTTCGCTCGCTTGTCTCAGTGTACAGTTTCCACGTCTGTATTGCGAGGGCAGGTGAGTGAAGGCTTCTTCCTTTTTGTTTATGATATGGGGGGGTGATGGATATGACGGCGCCAGCGTGGTTGGTGCTCCTTGTGAGACGTCTTGTCCATGCGTGTTCGGAATGCCTTCTGAGTGATGGTTCGCCTTGCACGTCTGTTCCCACCGTGGTGGGTGGGAAATCGAATGTTTTCCTTTTCCCTGTGGGTGCCGCGGCCTTATGGGTGATGGCTCGCCTTGCACCGCTTGCGTTTTTTTTTTTTTTTTTCTCTCTCTTTTTTTCCCAGGTGTGTATCTTTGGCCTCCGTGAGACCTGGAAGACCCCTTGAGGCGAGGTTGGGCCCTCCCTTGGGGCCAAGGTGCTCCGCCTCTGGGCCTCGGGGTTCGGTTTTTTTGCCTCCTGGAGCTCCTTGCTCTGTACGGGGACGGCCCTTCTAGGCCCTCTGGGTCTGGCCCAGAGGAGGCCTCGGGCTTTGGCGCCTCAGTGGTGCCCTCTAGCCTTATAGGCTCCGCAGAAGCAGAACCAGAACCAGCCAATAGACCAGACCAACCAGACCAGCCAGACCAACCAGACCAAACCCAGACCAGCCAGACCAACCAGACCAGACCAATGAGTGAGACCAGACTGTATTCGTCTTCCTCGCAGCTCCCCAAGGATTTGCAGCTCTCAAGGCCATCGAGCGTCATGGGTGTAGAGTCTGAGGTCTCGCGGAGGTTTCTTCTGCCTTAAATCGCAACGTGTTCGTTGGTTTCTCTCGTTCCCCTCCCACGCAGTTTCATCGCGCGCCTAGCGCTGCCAAGCCGCCCCAGCAACATCTTCAGTGTTCCGCATTTGTTGCGACGAGCATGGTGCAGTTCAGAGACCTCAAGGTCCTCAGGCCTCCAGTGGCCCCAACAAGACCTCCCCAAAGCAAAAAACATCCCATAGCCTGGATACTCCAATCTCCTCCCCTCGATCCTCCCCTTTCCCTTTGGAGGAGGAGGAGCAGGAGGGAGCCGGTAGGAGGCGGGAGGAGGGAGGCAGGGAGTGAAGGAGGAAGAGAAGGACGACGATGACGACGTATCATCGTAGCCTCCGCCCTTGTTGTCATTCCCCTTTTTCTCCTTCCCCTTTTTTGAGTACCGGCGTTAATTCTTCCAAGGGATCCACTCATCTGGGACTGATCTGCCCGCATCGTGAAGTTGGTAAGGATGATGGGGAGGAGGACGACGACGATGATGGCGAACACGACGACGAGGCGAAGTCGAGCTCGAGGAGGACGACGACGACGACGACGACGGCGGAGACGGCTGCGGCGGCGACGACGATGACAGGGATGGCGACGATGACGACGACGAAGATGATAACGACGACGACGGCGAGGACGACGAGGCATGCGGTCGTCAGACGATGGTATTGCGGGTTCGCGTGCTCAGTGCATCGGCTGGCTCGCGGGAACACACCACAGACACGAACAAGAACGTGCGCTCCACACGTCGGCGGCAACGCACATGGCCGAAAGCCAGATGATTCGCGTCGGGCCACAGCTGCTCACAGCGACCAGAAAGAGGCTCTGAATGAGAAGTGTCTGCACGTGGCACGGCCAGCCAGGAGACCCAAGGCCCCGAAGGTGGGAAAAAACAACCTGGTAGAACAGTTGGGTGGAGGGGGAGGGTGGAAGTAGGAGAGTGCATGGAGGAGTCGGCGGGAAGAGGATCGTCTGCAAAAGATGTATCCGTGTCCGTGGCGTCGTTGACCGGGCCCCTGGGCCGCGACCCCGCAGATACGGAGCGTTTTTTCGCGGATGCCTCGCGCGGAACGTATTCGTGTGACCGCGTATCCGCGGGATCGCGCTCCGGAATCCAGACCGTGAGGGCGCGGATACGGACACGTTCGCCGCTCGCGAGAGGATCTAGGAGTGACCCTTCGCCGGAATGACCTTTGACGCGGGCTCATCGGGGCCCCCCCCAAGCTGCACGCGATGCGGAAGCAGCGTCCTGCGCGTTTGGTTTTGGCCCCCCCGCGGCCCCCCGAAAGCCGCGCACGAAAGGTCACCCTTGCCAAGGGTCACTCCTGCGTGTAGCCGAGAGGAGGACGGAGGCCAGGGGGAGAGAGAGGACAGGGGCCTCCCAGATGGGTGCCGAGTAGGTGGGGTCGGAGGATCGCGCCGCATCGCTGGTGCATCGGCGATGCGGCTCGATGTGCAGCCCGATTTGCTTCGCGTCGACGTCGCCGGTGCATCGTTAATGCATCGCCGATGCATAAGCGATGCGGCGGGATCCTTCGACCCCCTTGCTCGGACCCCATCTGGGAGGCCTCTGAGAGGGCACGAGGAGGAGGCCGCCGCCGGCGACGGCGGGCAGCCGCAGCCAATCCCGCAAGGCCGCCGCGCCGCCGCCTCGCCGCCGCACGCCGGCGAGAAGCAGCAGCAGCCAGCGCCCAGCGCGGGCGAGCACTGCGCCGGGTGGGCTGCCCGCCGCGCCGACGACGACGACGACGACGACGACGACGACGACGACGACGACGACGACGACGGCGGCGATGACGGCGACGACGACGACGACGACGCGACGACGACGACGACGACGACGCGACGACGACACGACGACGACGACACGACGACGACGACACGACGACGACGACGATAAAGACGACGACCACTCGACAACGACACGGCGACGACGACGACGACGACGATGGCGGCGGCGGCGGCGGACGATAACGACGGTCCTCTTTCACTTTTTTAGGCCTCCAGTGATCCTCGCTGGGCCCTGGAGACGTCACAGAATTATGCATGAGGACGAAGAGTCCGCCCTCAGGAACGGACGTCTGGGAGCGGTGGACAACGACGCGTCGCCACCGTCGCCGTCGTCGTCGTCGTCGTCGCTGCCGCCGCCGACAGCCCGACAGCTTTGTTGCCGTTTTAGTTATCGTCGCTAATTACTCTAGTCGCCGCCGTTGTGGTCGTCGTCGGCGTGGTTGCCGCTGCGGTCGTCGCCGTCGTCGTCCTCGTCGTCGACGCCGTCGCCGTCGTTGTCGCCGTTCCCGTCGCCGCCGTCGTCACGTCGCCGCGACGTCTGCAGTCGTCGTCGCCGTCGTCGTCGTCGCCGTCGTTGTCTTGGTCGTCGTCGTTTTCGTCGTCGTCGTTGAGGTCGACGTCGTCGTCGTCGTGAGACCGTCGCCGTCACTGTCACCGTCGGCGTCGTCGCTGTCGTCGTCGTCGTCGGCCTCGGGTGGTGCGCCCGTCGCCCGCTGGCGCCGCGTTGCCGTGCAGGGGGAGTGGGGAGGAGCATCGACAAAAACTTCGCGTCACGATAATATATATTCGGGTCGTGTCGACCGGCGGCGACCGCGCCGCTAGCGTTCAACGTTGGACGCCGCAGGCGACCCAGAATCGGTCGATGTTGAACGAGCTGACGTTTCGGAAACGATCGATCGGTCAAGGTTCAGTGATCCTCGCAGTGTCAGAAGCCAACGCCGAAATCAGCACGACACGAGCTTGCAGCAACCTGTTCGTCCCAAACGTCGGCCTCAAGGTGCCTCTTTTGTCGGGCTCTCCGGGCCGCTGGATCCCGGATGAGAACCGGCCAGGTTGGACTTCTGGGGGCACCGACCTTGGCCCGTTCTGGGGGTCCGGAGGGGAAGGATGGGAGGAGGAAGAGGAGGAGGAGGAGGGGAGGACAGATGATGAGCATCAGCAAAAACATCGCCGCGCTCAAGACATGTTGCCATGTTGTACCTGAACCTCGGCCTCAAGGTGTTCCTCTCGGGCTTCTGGGCCGCCGAATCCCCTATGAAGAACCAGGCAGGTTGGACCCCGGGCCCCTGGGGGACCGAGTTTGACCAGAACTCGAGGTCTGGAGGAGAATGGAAGGTGGATGAGGAAGCAGAGTACGCGGAGGAGGTGGAGGAGGAGGAGGAGGACCGATGTTTTTGATACCCCCCCATCCAAACGCTTCCGGAGGCACCTAGGCAGAGCCTCGCTTGCGCGCGGGGGGGAACGGAGCAGAGAGGATGGGGAGGGACGAGTAGCAATTGTTTTTTTGTTTGTCAAAACGCGAATCCCATTTCAAACAGGACTGGGTAAAACACATGATGTGTTCCTTTTGCCTGGACGCGCCGCCATTTCCGCCAAGACAAAGTGTTCCAGACGGCCTCGCCAAAGCTGCAGTGCTGGGTCCTGAGGCAACTGCGCCCGGAGTTCGGCCGTGGGAGGGGGAGGGAGGTGTAGGGAGGGTGGGGGAGGAGTGGAGGGACAGGTAACCATTGGGACAGAAAAGGGATGGGGGAGGAGGAGGGGGAGGAACGCGCCCCCTGGACCCTCACTGGAGCAGAAGAGCAGCACTCTTCGGGAGCAGTTCGTCTGCGAAACACGTCCGGACACCCATATCACGGAAACGCCAAGTTGTTGGGCTGAATTCGTCATCGACGAAGTCGGTTTCAGTCATGGTTGAAGGTGTAGTCCTGCTAGATGCGTGATGCTTGTGATTGACAATGTGCTCGAGCAGGCATTCAGCAGACCGCTTTCCACTCCAGGCAGCCCCTTCTTCTTCGAGTGCATCTGGCACGTTCTTTTCCCCTGCTCCGAGTGTGCATCTTGTTTGAATATCTGTTGCACCACTTATACAAGGCTGTGTCGTTAAGCAAATTGCGTGCTTTACAAAACGCTTCCTCGGGGAGTGCTGTGAGTCCGCATAGCAGTGAGGGCAGCAAGGCTAATTTCAGCTAAGATTGGCAAGGCAAGCACACTGGTTCACGACACGCCCCGTGGCTGCTTTCTGCGCGTGCCCCGTTGTAAAGCTGGATGACGTGGCCAGCTTGGGCCACTGCTGGAATGACATGTGGCCGCATGCGCTTCCAGCGCTCGGCCCTCGAAGGCAAGGCATGGTGATCCTTCACATCATGTGTGTCCAGCGAGTGGCCTCCAGATGTTCCACGTGTGAATCCAGCCATGTGTGTCTTCCAGCCTCCTGGCAGTCCCGACGGTTCGCCACGCGCAAGTCGGTGTCCGCCCCCCAGGAGGTGACGAACGCGTTCCCTCTGCACGATGCAGCCTCGAGTATTGCCGTGCATGCTCACGCTACCGTGCCTGTCATTGCCGTTCGACTGGCTCAAGCGGGTATCCAACACAGGCGCCCTCAGATTGCTCCGAACAAGGCAGATTCTCTTCCAAAGCAGCTGTGGTCTCTCGGTTTGGGCGACGAGATCCAGACATCTCCACCGCCACTGTCCAGACCCATCCTGGGCCCAGCACCAGTGTATATTCCCCCCAAGGACGGCATATACACCCTTCTTGGGCTCAGGTTGGGCCTGGCCAGGGGCGTTGGAAATGCATAGATCCAGTCGCCTTATCATTTTATATTTCATATTTCCTCGCGTTCGAATCCCATGCAGTTTCAAAAGGTAGTCACTGCGTTATATTGCTTTCCCGGTTTGCCCGGTTTGCCATGTGCCCTCCGAGGTTGTTCAAGCATTGGCAATGTTGGAAGTGCATGTTTGTGTCTGGTCAGGCATGAGAACATGTCCTCTCCTTTTCTTTTTGGATCTACAGCGTGTGTAGCTCAATTCGGATCGCATCCCTCATCAAGCCATGCAGCTGGCACATCTCGATG